AATATTCGAGAATATATAGTTATCAATACTTTCCTCTATATATCAATTAAACCTAGAAAATTGCATAAATGATAGTTTGCTATAGGAAAACTTGAAATTAAACATAAATTTACGAAAATCCATGCGTACAGTCCAAAGCAAAAAAATGTAAGTGAAGCAGTTAGAAGTTGAAATATGCTAAAAAAAATTTCGGAAAAAAAGCAGAAACTTTATCAAGATGATATAAAAGGTATAAATTAATATTAAAAAAAGGGAAATTTTTAAAAAAGTGTAAATTGAAAAAAGAATTATACAAAAAAAGGAAGCAAAACTATGTTATTTTAATTAAATAATGAAAAAAAAAGCTTTTTGATAAGAAAAAATTTGTTTATTTGTTTGTTTTTCTTTTTCAAATAAAATTACAGTATAATATCAATTGGTCCCATTTATTCAATGAATCATTGGAGCCAATATATACGATTGGTAGTGCGGATGTTAGAAATATTCGTCAATCAAAAGATGAGCAAAGTTTATTTAAATCAACATTTACTAATACAACCGAACGTGAACAGGAATATTCGTTTAAAACAGAACGTTCAACACGTAGTGCTGCAACGGTTGTTGTCGGTAAGATGCCTCATTTTTCTTTGTAATTTATTCCGGAATACCGGAGCAATGATGAAATAAAAGTAGTAATTTGATTGATTGTAAATAATTGACGATGATTGAATCAGTTGGAAAATTTCTGGAATTCAAAAATAAATTTTAAACAAAGTGGAAATTTTCATTCAATTAAATTGTCCTCAAAACGTTGCAGTATTTACTTTCATATAATCTTTTTCTTTTCTTTTGTTTCTTTTTTTTTTTTGTCTTTTTGAGAAGGAGAGAGAGGGATGAAAAAGTAGGGGAAAAATAGAGGTGTAATTATAATTTTTAAATCTTTGCATACTTTGACTTGTTATTTAAATCAACCTTAAAATATTTAAATCTAAAAATTATTTTTGGTTTTATACTTTATCCATTCTAAAATAATTCCACCTATTTTACGAGATTAGGTTTTCTTTTCAAAAAAAGAAAAAAAACCGAACAAAGTTAATAAGAATGGAATTTATTTTTGTAGAGAAAGGTGTATGTCGTGGAGTTGAAATGGCATTGAAATTAAAAACACCAGGAGAAATAGTAGAAGCAAATGCTGGATTTAATACTGAATTAACGGTAATAAATATTGGCGAGAATACAATTGAAGAGGAGCTTGGATGGGGTGTTGATAGTACTGTTCGGGTACCACCATTTTGTGAAACCGTTGCTGAGCTTATCATTTTGGAAGATCGTCAAACTAGGCTTGTTTTACTCTTTTTTCTTTTTTATTCTTAGATTATCCCTGAAATATAAACAAATGGAACGTATTTATTGCTCAAACATTAACAAAAGCCTTATTTGTTTAAATGAAATGATCTGATTCATCCTTATATACCATATACGAAAAAGAGATGTATACGATCGTTTGCATCCGGTTTGAAGGTGTGTTAATTAATATTTTCAGATGCATTGTATATGTCTTGATGGATTAACATACTTGTTAATTATTTTAAAAATTAGGATTGTTTTTTTTTAAAATGAAAGACAATTCAACAGAATTCGTCATTTTCGTAAAATTTATTTGCGGTAAATGTTGAAATTAAAAATAATATATGAATTATGATCGGATACCGATGCTAATTTAATGATCACTATAGCTCTAAACCATATTTGAAGAATAGGACTAGATGATAGAAGTGACGGGAATTTTGTTCTAGAAGGATAGCTTGAATAATCAATTCTTTATTCCGTTTCAATTAAACTACAGCTAAATTGTGATATTTTTATAGGAAATTTTCGATCGAAAGTCACATGTCAGGCCGAATTATTGTTACGGTGACAAATATAAAGGACAATAACAGTTTGATAACAATAATTGAGGGTAAAATTGCTGATATTATACGTGGTATAACAAATTATTCTTCATTGGGATTCACAGTACAAAATGATGTAGGTTACTTTTTGTCGAACAAATCTGCAATTTTCTTTTTTCTTCTTTCAGATTTAAGTTAAATTCTATTCAAAAAACTATGAAATTTTATTACAAAAAAAAAAAAAAACGCAAATATATAGCAGAAATTTTTTCGAAATTCTTTGTTGATAAGCTGATAATATTCCTACGTTATCCGCTTATCATCACAATTTCTTCCCTATTATTGTGTCAATTATCATGAGTTTTAGTTTTCAAAATAAACCCTAAACAATGGGTTACTTCATTACTGATTCATCATTGCTGATGATTATGCATTGTTTGAGCTCATTAACAATTCAACTCTCTTCAAGTATCATCAATCATCTCATCCACTGCCTTCTATTTTACTCCAAATCATGCATAAATCTTGAACTACAGCACGATCCATTCATTAACCAACAAATAAAGTTGAAATTCAGTCCAAAAAATTTTGTGTATATTACAGAAACAAAGAAAGAACAAAATTTATGTTATATAATATTAGTTCATAATAATGTCATTCATATTCTCTAGTGTAATGCTTAAAGACGAAATAATTACTTTAATGTGCATAATAATTCATAATAATTATTATTAATTACAGGTTGTTTCATATATGACGAAAGGAATATGCAAGTTTAAATATGGTGTAGAGCAGAAAGTTAAAATAACGGAACATCCTATACGCAAGTATTGACTTCCAGTCTAACGTTCACGTGAACTTTACATGTCAATACAATTTGTCCCGTATGCTTTACGTTGTGTTATTGTTCGCATTGCTTTGTAGATAATCATACATTATTCAGCATTTCCAGTCGATTGTTTATAATATCCGAAGAAATTGTCATAAATAAAAACCGGTATATGTGAGATTTAATGCCACACGTCAACTTGAGGTCCTACAACAGGTGGATTATTCGACAAATAGTTCATTATGCTTACAGTAAACTTATAAATTCCACTGCAACTCCAAAGAAGCTAAACCAAACGACACATACATTTCTACCCATAATCCCTTCTCATCTCCATACTGGAAACGTCTCTACATCACACGATCAATCGTCCATCGAGTATCACAGTATAAATCTTCAAGCTGATTCATTAAAAACGTCTGTTAATTCTGAATCCCGTACCATGAATAATAACTTGCCCACTGTTAACAATATTATACTGAGTATATAATAACCCAAACGGAAATGGCACTCATGTACAAAAGCGTATCATGCATGACACGACGTCAAGCAAATTCATTAGATCATTATTTACCGGCCATTCTCCGTCTTGATTACGTAATCGTGTAATAAACGTGAAATCCATCCACTGTCCTCTTTAATAAATTGCACTTTTGACCTCTCAAGCACTAGGCTAACCTCTTTTTTGCATATTAATGTCAAGTATTGCTTATCTAACAATCAAACTGAACAACCGAATAAAGTCATCCGGAAATCGCAAATATTACTCAGTTTCCATTACTTTCTATTATCTAATTACTTGTAAATAATTCATTCTACTTCATGCCAAGCAAGTATTAGGCAAAAAAAAACACTTTAATACAGTTTAAAAATGAACGTAACGTTAACTGAAAGATGGATTAGGAATAAGACAGGTAGTATTGTAGATAAAGTAACACATTCAACGAATCCATTTTCTAAATTGCAACACGAAAATATTCACGTAAAAAAAGTAAAGATTTACACAGCAATGATCGGTAATGGAGACAGTGGTAGTGCTAATCTCCTTTTTAAAGCACTTAATATAATTCTGAGATACATTTATGAGAAAAGATTTTTTAAAAGTTAACAAAGACATAACTGCGCTACTTAACAAAGAGATGAACACATATACACATGAACACACACACACATACACACGGACAGACAGACATACATACACACATACACAGACTCACATACACAGGAAACAAATGCAATAAAATTCGTTGATGAAAAAAAATGGCAAAAACCCAACATGGATATAATGAAACGCAAAGATTTAGTCAAAAAAGACTGTTTAGTATGAAACAGCAAATGGTGAGCCTGGTACATTGGTATCGCCGTATTTGACGAAGATAAATCCTTTAACCCTTTCTTGAATACGATAGCTAACCGCGTACCGACCACCGCCTAGATGTCGTACTGTAACCTCTTCACATGGTCCTTTCGATGTAAGTACACCAACGAACAGAAGATTTTCACCTTAATACCCAAGCTTCATTAATACATTTGCTAATTGCTTTTACAAGGAGCTACCGATTGGCATAATTTCTTTTTTCTTTGAAAGAAACGGTTGTTTATTTGGTATTAAGGGAAAAAAGAAATTTACACCATATGCAGCAAATGAAATCGTAAAAGATAAAAAAACGAACCCGCAAGGCTGGTGTCAATATTAAAAGCAGCTGGTCGACCTGGAAAAAACTTATTCAAACCGCCACCTTTCACATTAACTTTGCTCGCATCTCCCTTCAGTACCGGAACCTGCGCAACTGTTCCTTTACTTGTCTTTGCTAGCGCATCAATCTAGAAGTAGAGATATCTTTACACAGAACTTTCAGTCAAGTATTTTTAAATAAATTGAAACACAAACACAATAATATCCCTGCTCCATCTTCTTTCCTCCCCTCTATTTTTCGCTCGTCTTTCATTTCCCATAAATTTCAAAGACCAAAATTTGAAGAGAAATAAGAAACAACCATTAAATAAAGAATAATTAGAAGATAACCTTAATAAGCGAAGTGTCCGGCTCACCACCACCACCAAGTTCCTTACCAGCCATAATTATTTTGAATGGTGAACCAGGAATATGAACACCTAAAAAAGGACATAGAGTCCAATGAAATGAAAGGTAAGGTAAAGATACTTATATTGGAGTGGAATGATAACCTTTATTCAAAAATATCCGTCATAAACGTCATCCTTCATACCATATTCTAATTCGATCAGACAAAATAAGCATACCGATCTCTCAGTTAACATACCTGCATATTTGATGTCCACAAAATACGCTCCAGGCGCCAACGCCATGTATCGTACCTTATAGCCCATGTCCAGCTGTAAATTATGTAATACTTGGTATTTGCACGGAGAAAAAAGTGATGATATTATAGAAACGAATAAGTGTAAAACCAACAGGGTCGTCTGACTAATTTAATTAAGACCAAGTTTACATGCAAGATGGATATAACTATGCGCTGAATTCTGGTGTAAAGCTAAAGATGTAAACATTGAATTATTCAGCCTCTTAGCTGATAGCACTCTTGGATGAAATAAAATATTATTTGAATTGACACATAAAATATAAAAGCATCTGAGCAGCATAATGATGCTGGGAAACCAACTAACCTCATATGCGTCCAAAGTAACTTTTGATGGCCCATCAATTTGAACTTGCAGAAGTCCCGTTCCAGCATTACAAGTATTAATGATGAATTCGCATTTGTGGCCCGTTTGTCCACCGTGTATACCATCACCACTTACCGTTATCGCTGTTGGATCACTTTCCTCGGCTGCACCGACACGCAAACGAAACGGTGAATCACGCATTGGTGCGCCATCAAGTGTCACATCAACATAATAGTTTCCTGCCTAAAAAAAATACCTGTAAAAACAATTATCAAAGTTAATAAACCTTAAGAAATTTAGCAATCAGGAATCTTAGGTTGGAAAAGAAAATAAATACCTCTGTAGGGATGAACCGTAAAGCGTATGATTCGCCTTCATCAATCGGAACAATATCAATTGTTTCAATTTTATTACTCGGTGTATGGACTTTTGCTTCGAGACGACCTGCTGCACGATGTGTAAGCACCGTGAAGGTGCATGCCTTACCAGGCAGTCCAGAATCTGGGAATGATGCTAACTCAAGTCGGCGAGCTTCTCCTGTTGCAGGAGCCACGAATACCTTAAATAAAAGATTAATACCAAAGTTAAAAAAGAACACGGGACATCCATGAAATATCTGACATGAAAATTACCCAATAGTCACAGTTATCAAGCAATTTAAAAATGCAGAAACATTATGAAAACACTAACTTTAAATGGTGAATCCGTTATGTGTTCACCGTTAAATTTGACACCTACCAGATATTCTCCAGGCTTACTGACTTTGTAATTAAAGTGGCAATTTCCATCCTGAAAAAGTGGCGTTGCTCAGATGTCACATGGCTTTCGTTTAGTGCATCCATCTCGTTTAAACATCCGCTAAGTGCAAATTTCAGTAAATCTAATGGGTTTTTCTGTCTGCAATACTAATCTTCTTAAGAAAGAAACGCTTGCAATGACCCTATTAATCATAACCAACAAAAACTTCACATCAATCGAAATCGCTTGCAACTGCTGAAGCAAATTCAAGATATTATGCGAGGCACAAATAACCTAGAATAAGACATGTTCAAATCTACGCAATGCACACCTTATGGTCATAAAATTGCAGCTCAGCTTCTGACGGTCCCTCTATGGTCACTTCAAGCTCTCCTTGTCCAGCTTCTCTGGTATAAACGTTAAACGACTGTTTCGCATTTGTTTCACCTCGCAGTATTCCAACCCCAGCTGCACGCACTTTGTGTGCTCCTACCTCTGTCATATGTCCAACAGTAAACTGGAACGGACTTCCTGGAAATTGAAAAGAATCTTCTAAAATGGTTCCTCGTATTTTCTGTTTTGGAGGAATAAAAATTCAGATTTCTGAACAAATGAATATGACAGGTTACCTAAAACATGCTGTCCTTTGTTGAAGACAGAAATCGCATGAGAACCATCCATTTCAGGCTTGAAAGTGATCTGATAAAGGCTGTCACCAATATCACGCACCTCAATATCGTAGCTTTTTCCGTTAGGATCCATAACCTTTGCTGTCGTTTCCATTGGGGATGTATTTTCCAGTTGTAGATACATGGAAGCATCCTGCTTGGGTAGAACCATTGGCGCCTTAAAATGGTTTCCTAGTACTTGATCTTTACTTATTACGAAAATCAACCTATTAAACATATTTCAACTTAAATGACGATCTGAAAAGTGCTTTCACAAAACTCCAACATTTACCTGATGCACTTCCTTGGTGGCTCTTTTCTTCACAGAGCCTAATCCTTTGCCAGTACAATTAACGGTGAACGGGCTATCTACAAATAAGGAAAATTTGTGAATCCCGTTGGAAGAAAACTCGAAAAAAATTGCAGAGGAAAACAAACCTTTTACATGTATATCTGCAAATTTGATGGACAAAATGTAAATCCCCGGTTCCGTTGGTTTGTAGGCGATATTAATCAAGCCTTCCTTTGCTTCAGTACATTTTAGTTCAGCCTTCGATGGCCCTTCAACAGATACAGACAGACCACCATAACCTGGAATTAAATTAGACACTATTAACATGAATTAACCTTTTATGTAACCGAGTAAATAACCCTAATTAACCTGCATTGCGTGTATCTACCGTCACATCGTTGTACTGCTGAGAAATAGCGCTCGCTTTTCCATTACCGCTAACAGTAACTTTCGACGCATCTCCGACCTACAATAAGTTCCAATTGTTTACAACTATTAAATGGGTACTGATGACTAGACAACAAAAAAGTGAGACTTACTTGACTTTTATCAACTTTAACTCGGAAAGGTGATTTTGGTATGATTTGACCATTCTTTTTAACAGTGACCAAATGTTCACCCTCTTCACGTGGAGTAAATGAAACACCTAAACACATTACCCATAGACTGCTTCCAATATGAAACGATATATATAATTTAACAGCATAGTTGAAAACCACCGGTAACATCATAAAGTGTCAAAACTCAGAGATATATGCGAAAGAAGGACAAATACAGAATAATGGAGAAGCAATAATATGTAATACCAATGTTAGCAGAATCAATATGACGGATGAAACACGGCTCTTCAATACCACTTGGGCTTTTTATTGAAGCTGATAGTCCTTTAATTTCCTTATTCTCAACATTTAGTGAGATCTATAATTTATGACAGTAAACTTACAGGTAAACGATTAAAAGGGAAACAGTCGCGAATCAGAAATATGTTGGAATAACACCTTGGAGATAAATAATGAAACAACATTAAACGTGTCTCCCTAACCCAGAAAGAAAAAAGAAAACTTCGTAAATTAAGTAAAAGCAACAGTGATATTGATTTTAGCCTACAACTGCAAAAATGCGAAAAAAAAGACCTCTGATGTTGATCCAACTGACAAGTGTGCACGTTTCTGACCTTCACCAGCCACCATGACAACAAACGGTGAACCTTTCACAGGGTTTCCAGAAAGTTTGACATGCACTTTATATTCACCAGGAACAGGTGGTACCCATGCTACAGAACACGTACCATCCTATAAAAAGAGAAACAATCAAATTTCAAAAAATTTTCGACCAGTTCAAATATGAGTGTAAATTAAATAAACCTTATTATCATGACATTTGATTGTTGCCTTTGCACTCCCTTCAACCGCAACTGCCAATTCCTTAGCTGGTGAACCTTTGGCGCAAACTGTGAATGCTGCCGGTTCACCAACTACTGCATGCGTTAAGCCGGGACCATATACTGTTACATATCCATCAGCCGCATTGCTGACGTAAAAAGAGATTGGACTTCCGGACATATTAACTCCATCATGCTGCACTGATAGAAGATGATTGCCGCACTGCTTCGGTCGGTACGTTACTGTTACGCTTCCATCAGCGTTGTCCTACAATAGTGAACTTGGTATTTGCAAAGCAGCTGGAGAGTGCAACTTCCCTCCTCATAGTCTAATTTCCCCTAACAATCATCTACAATAACAGCGGTCTTTCATTAGAAATTACAGAGTGCGAAATAAAAAAAGATCAAGTTTCATTGATCAAAACTTGTCTCAGGTAAAACTTAACGGACAACATTATACCCACTGCGAAACATTCAAAATTAACCTTTATGTGGGCAACATCGGTTTTACCGGACGGCATTCTCACTGATGCATTCAGCTTGTCAAAATTATATTCGGAAGTTACTGAAAAACGAAAAGTGCGTGGCACTAAATGTTCCTCAACGTTGTAAAAGCACTCCTTTGAAGTTGCTTCGCGTCTTAATAACGCTACTTCAGGTTCACCCACAACAGGTGGTCCACACTGAAAGGTAAGAGATCATCAGATCACAAATGTAGTTTGCTGCAGAAAAGCAGATGAAAATGAAGACTTACAAGCCTCACAACGGTTAGATTACTTTCATTACAACGTAGCATTACAAACAACAGCAACTGTTATCAAGAAACAGTTGTTCTCATAACACATTCTACTTTCATTTTCAAACATAAATTCTTCCTTTCATCTTCCCAAAAACAGCAAAAGAAAAAAAAGTTTCGCAACATGCTTCTTAGATTGTGAGAATGACACTGGAAGTTCTTTAACTACACAGGAGTTTTTTAATTCATCATAGCTGAAGAATTTTCAAAATTTTAAACAATTTAAACCGTCACGATTTTTAAAATCCGGAACCACAACTGAAGGATTTTGGGACGACTCGTAACTGCTTACTTAAAATTAAGATGATTTACGGAGATTATTGAAAAGACAGCTACAGAACTTCTTAATCCGTTAAAGCATTAAAAAATTTCATAATTCCCAGAAAAAGAAAGGAAATGCAAAGGAATGCTTTAAACAAAAGTCCCATTGATAACTGAAATGAATTCCAACGAATAATGTAAATGCAAATACAACATACTCTACGATTTATCACTTTAGTGAAAAGGAAAAACCAACAGATGTCTCAAGTGTTGCAAAACATTCACAACAAATGATGGATGCGAAATGAGAGAAAGCTTAATCACATGTTGCTCCACTCTGTGTTAGATTGTCTACAAGCAAACAATTAAATATAGAAATGAGACAGGATGACATCAGATGTTTTTGGATAAATTGATAGAATGGAAGCGATAGAGGAAATTTTATGATATTAATAAGAATTTTATGCAAATGAAAAATTTGTTGACTTTGGTAAAATTCCGTCCTTTTTCTTCGGCCTATTTTCTGCTAATAATTTCATTTTGATAACGTTTAGAAGTTTGATTTACTTTTCCAACGATGATATAATTTGATAAAATCTAAATGACTGAGCGATTGTAATGTAGGCAGATGCTAGGTGTAGGAAATTAGCGTGAATACAAACTTTCGCTCACAACTGATCGAGCAACCACATCCACAGTTTGATCCAATTTCTACAGAATACAAACTACTAAAAATAGTCCTGCCATATTCGGTCCAAATAAGACTATTTTCAGTAGTTTATTTTAGAAAGAAAATTCATTTCCCAAGCACGTATTACTTTCTTCGGTCACTTTACATATTATAGTATTACTCGTTTAGTAATACTATAATATGTAAAATCATAGAAAAATTTGGCCACTTTATGTAGTATAATATTCTAAATAAATATTATTTTTGTGAAACAAATGTCAGCTTTCACATAATTCTGTTTAATGTGTTCGCTGAAAAAAAAAAAAGGAAAAACTCATATACGCCACAACTAAAAAATATAGGAACAAGCGAAAATGGTAAAAGGTAAGAAAAATGATAAATTCATGGTCAACTTAGCCATACCTTTCATCACCCTTGAGCTCCGAGAAAAATGAATCCCAGAAGAATTTGAGCTTATCACTCCAAGAAAATGAGTAGAAAGCGAATCTAAGCAAAAATTTTCATCACCGTTTGATAATTAAGAATAACTGAACCAATAATGACAACGATTCTCTTGAAAAGCAAAGGAAAAAAACTGCTAATTCCCTCCAGTCTCCCTCCTACAGTACGGAAAACCCGAAAAATGAAAAATGGAGAGTAAAAATCAAAAATTATTCAAACAACGTGTGAAGAAATATTTTCATAGAAAAACATTCAACTTTTGCGCCAAAGCAGTGCTACATAATCCAGCTGACCTAGAATTCTATATCATCGCACTTTGTTCCACCAATAAGCTTTTGCATTTAAAAAGAGTGATAAATCAAGCTATAAATCATTCAAAGAAAAACCAGCTGTTCAAAATAGGGAACAGTAATGTTATACTGGTAATACCCAACATATGGCCTCTTTTTCTACTAAATATTCTTCACTGTGGAGAACAATAATGTCTACAAGCACAGCAGTGAAAGTAAACATATCATAAAACAGCAAAGTATTTGAAGAATGGAAGGTATTTTCTTCTTGAGAACTACGGCTCATCTGCTCAAACTATCATATCATTGCTTGCACGACTGAATTGAAATTCAGTAGATTAAATTTATTAAACTAAATACAAGGTGCGGTCTGGACTGATATATCACTTCAATTCGTCTGGATAAAGTAAGATTTGATAACCTCAAAACTGAATGTTCCATTAGGTATTTCAACACCGCCATACATCAATGCAATTCGATGTGGTCCTTCATGATGTGGAGTAAGCGTTATTAAATAATTGCCATCATTTTGTTCCTCAATGTTTACTTCTAAATCATCTCTATCGGAGACAATATTCAATGCACCTTCCCCTCCACATTTCGCATTTACTTTGAATGTTTTCGGCTCCCCAATAATCCAAAATTTGTCGAGTGGTTTTACTGAAATTGCATCAAATGGATACAACATTGGAACCAAGATGAGATTTACATCAAAAATTTAAAATCGTTTCACTAATGGGTTGTGGAGAAATGCAATACTTTTAACCATTTGAGATTTCTTTGCAATACGCTTAAAATCTTAAGTGGAAAACTTACATTCCAAATAACATTTGTTTGCGGAACCAACCGGAACAGCAGTGAGCTCATATGGTTTCGAATGTAGCGGTTTTTCATCATCATATATAATGATAACGTATGTCCCAGCCATATCCGGGACAAATTCCAAGAGGTATATTCCTTTATCGGTTGTTTCGGTAAGCGATGATTTCCGAGACTTATTATTCGGACCCTACAAGTGTGTTCAAAATTAAAATTACATTTCTTTAGCAGCTGTGTTGTCAGTGACCATGACTGCAGTTTTTCTTTTTGAGAAATAGAAAACATCTTACTTTTATTTCAGCCCTTAGCCTGTCAATTTTCTCAGCTTTTTTTGCATCAATTAAGACACCATATCGAAGAGAAGCCTGTACTTTAGACGGTATAATACCGGAATCACTTTTTAGCACTACGAGTTCCGATTCCTCTTGTTCAACAGTAAAGTCCAATGGCCTATGAAGATATTCAAATCTTGTTTGCATCCTATTAGATGTGGAAAAATCTTTAAAAAGACATAGAATCAGGTAGAGAATCAGCGTTATGGAAAAGCGTCCAAATGATCAGTGTAGAAACGCCGAATAATTTACCTTCCATGGAGAAGCTGACCACCATAAAGAATTTCCAAGGGCAATATTTCACCTGCCTTGCCTTTCGGTGTAAATGTTACTTGATATATGCGAGGTTTAATTTCTTCAATGAGTGGTTGCTGGAAACCAATAGGAAGTCGTGCACTGATAGGTTCCAAAGCAGTGCGTGTAGCATCGATCAAAAATGACGTAGATACACCTCCTCGTACATGCCCATTATTATAACCGGTTATCAGGATTTTCGACGGGTCATATTCATAATCGACCAATACCGTAAACGGTGAACCTATAACTCTCAACAGATTACTTATGAAGTAACTGATCTAACATAACTGAAACGAAACACAATGAATGATAACAAGAAATATGGAACCAAAAAAAAGGAGTAAAAGTAATAACATAACATGTACCGGGAACTTCTTCTTCATGATCACCGAAATAAATGCTTATTTCATACAGCCCAGGAATTTGTGCAATATATTCCACAGTGCATAAACCATCGGAATGATCAATAATGTTTGTTTTCGATTCTGATGGTCCTTTGATAGCCATTTTCATCCTGCCTCCTCCGGCATCCTAAATTCAATTCTCCTCAGTCAGAATGTCATTATTAAAAGATTGCTTTGGGTTCCACCTTCTTAACTAAATTCCAATTTCGAAATGAAAACGAAGTTTTGGTAATTCCAAATGACAAAATTTGTATGCCGCTCCGTACCTTCATATCCACCTGAAATTTCGCCGCCACACCAACTATTGCACGTTTAAGTCCATCACCAGTAACTCGGCACATCGTTGCGTCTTGGTTTCGTCGAACGATGATCTGTGATTCGCAAACCAAATTTTCATCGAAGAAAACAGCAAATTTTGTCTCACCAACATTTTTGGCTGTCCAGAAGCCTGGAAACAGTATCATATGCCACCGTATGAAAGTGAGAAACTTTATTTTTCATTCGGCTATGTAGATGAATGGAAAATAAATTTCAATAAGATAGAACCTTTGTAAATAGTTGAATTATGACCACGTTCAAGAGGAATCATATATTTTGATCCACTAGCTTCTTCCACAATAAGTTCGAGACCATTCTTCATGGGTGTTAAATCACCAGTATTAATCGCAATATCCTCCCGATGTCCAATTGTAACAGTCCCTGGAAAATTGAACTTGCCTTATGAATAATAATTAAAAAGAGATATTGGGAGAATTTTTTAATCTCTTATGATTATTGAAAATAGTTAATGGAAAAATTCAAACATAAGTCTAATTTCCAACCATTACGTAGACCGTCCACCACGATTGATGAAATATCAACCGGTTTAACATTTATGTTCATTTTCATTAATTCCATATCTTCGTAGTGTAATGTCAACTGAAACAAAGACTAATAGTAATGGTAAAAGTTTGTTTAAACTAAGCCCATGATTGTCTAACTTTTGGGAAAGCAATCACAACCTCATACAGACCAGCTTCAGGAGCTACATAACTCGCAGTAAGTGTTTCATTTCCATTATCGACCAATGCAACATTCACCGGTGTTCCATTTTGATGATATAATTGCGAACGGATTTTTTCAACACTACCAACATTTTGTGGATCAATGATGAAGGCTACTGGTCGAGTTGCATGAACATCAGGTCCAATACCAGCACCATAGATTCGAATTTTGCTTGCATCAATCATTTTTCGGACTACTACCTGCATGTGACAACTAGTAAAATAAATCACTTAGGTAAAATTTATCTAGCAAAATTATAAGAATAAGCATTGTTTTGCTAAAAGATTTAAGGATTGAAGCTTCTTGATGATTAAAATATTCAGTTGAATAGAAACCACAAATGGTGATCCTGGAATTGCAACACCGCCGACTGATAGAAGGAAATAATATCGACCCGGTGCTTGGGGAAAAAACGGCATTCATACTGTCCAGATTTAGTTTCCATTACTTGTACCGGTACCTCTTCGTAATTTTTGTCCAGTGCTCTTACTAATGGTTTAAGACGCACTAAAAACAAGAAAAAAATTAGGTATAGATTGTCACAATGGATAATAGCGGAATTGTCTTGCCAATACATCGAAAGAGTTCCACTACATGCATTTATATGGCCATGCAACAAATATTAACAACATATGGAACTGAAACTCGAATTAGAATTGAACAAACTCTCTGAGTAGTATGTCTCCTGACGATGACACTTGCAAGACGAATATGGATGAGCTCTCGAAGAAAATTCACTGTTCAAATCTATTATTTCAGTTCTACTCACTGGTATCACTAGCTTTCAAATTTTGATCGGCATAATGAGTCGCAGCCTCACATTGTAGCTACGCCAACACACTACCACCTTACTTTAAGTAGAGGAACTTCAAAGAATCCAATCTGGACACCTTATTAGCACAACACTAGTAAATACGTATAATGATAGTATAATAATAATACTAGGGAGATGAACTAGTGCAACTGCATCAAGCTCTTTGCGTGAAGGCAAGTAAATGCCGGGAGAATATAATCAACTGTCACAAGCAAGGGCAAATTCTTCTGAAATATACCTCTTGCATCGGGCATCTCGATCCAGAATGTTAGATTTTCGTCTTGTAGAGCAGTAAAATCCGGTCCGATACCAGATAATCGCATATCAGTAACTTTCAGGTTATTATTAGCTGGTTGCACTTGTACGACAAATGGCGAACCTTTGACATGCTCACCAGCATAGCATACCTTTATTGTGTAAATGCCAGGTACGGTAGGCTGGAAGTTTCTTAGATAAAGTTGTTAGTCAAACCCATCAACAGTACTTTAAGAATTAAGGAAACCGCTTCCAAAAAAGTGACATTAGATCCAAACTACTTATTAAAAACTGCCTACTAGCTGATAAGAGGAACATCTACCAGCGCAAATACAATCTAATCTAAAGCAGAAAAAAGCAGATTAATCCTAATTAAAGAACGAGTCAAATTAGTGTGGTCGGTTTTAATACGGACTTTCTGACTTCCACCAAACAAAAAAAGTCAAAAAAAGACAACTAACAGTAAATCGAGCAACAGCAGACCCATTTTTATTGTCTACCAATTCTATATCCGGTTTCTCAGAACCATTTTCCGATGTCATTATCCTTCCGCTCACAGTAACATCTACAGCAGACATATGTCAGCCAGCGCAATCCAGTATCTTTCGAACAATTGATACAGCATTGGTTAGTATAAACCTAAGCAAACCTTCTACAAACATGAAACATTTATCAGGAAACTTACCAATCTGTTCACAACGACCACCATCTGTTTCAATAAGGAAGATACTTGGCAAATTTGCAACACCACTCTCTAATCCTGGCCCGAATGCGCGTACTCTTGAATCACTTACTGGTGATACCATTACCTTAAATAGAAACCTCAATTCATCCAAAACCCAAAACAAAACTGTTGTATGAAATAGAAAACTAAACAGAACCAACTAATTTTAAATCAGAGAATAATGAAAAACGACGGCAATGGTTAAAAAAAAAACTCCATAACGACCATTGATACGATACCTAATCGGGATACCACATATATGCATAACACCACATATATACATAATTACCCTTAAACTGGGATACCACCTACATAATACAACTAAATTGGAATACCAGTCCACTTCCCATAGCCTGCACAGTTATATGGCATCCGATAAAATTGCTTTGTTCCTAATTATTCCGTGAGATTCATATCGAACTAAATGTATATTCTGCATATATATACATATATACAAACGCATATACATATATATATATAT